TTTCTAACCTCTCACATAACGCTGTTCCCCAAACCGGATAAGGATGGTAAACTGTGTGCCAATTATAGACCAATAGCCCTTCTCAATTCGGACTTCAAAATCTTTACAAAAACTTTAGCTAATCGGCTAGCCCAACTATTGCCAACACTCATACACAACGATCAAGTAGGCTTTGTGTTAAATCGCCAAGCAGGGGATAACACCCGTAGACTGGTAGACCTGATAGACATTGTAAACAAAGAGAAAAAGGAGGTGCTGTTAATCAGTTTAGACGCCGAAAAAGCCTTTGACAGGCTTAGTTGGCCATTCTTACATGCGACGCTATCCCATATGGGAATCAGGGGCCCCTTCGCCCGAGCAATCCACGCAATATACTCAACTCCCTCTGCCTCTATAAAACTGAGAGCAGCGACTTCCGCACCGTTCCAGATGCGCAATGGCACTAGACAGGGTTGCCCGCTGTCCCCACTGTTATATGCTCTCTGTATTGAACCCCTTGCTGCACGGATTCGTGAGTCACCAGACATAGAGGGAATACAGATAGGAACACAACAATTTAAACTAGCATTGTTCGCAGACGATGTCATTCTTTCTTTGACGCCCCCACAACGTTCACTGCCGAAGCTACAATCGGAACTTCATAGTCATTCTATGGTGTCGGGTTATAAACTGAACATAGGCAAAACTGAAGTCCTCCCATTGAATATATCCCCCGCTAAATTGATCTCCCTACAAACTATGTTCCCCTCCAGTTGGAAAAGCGATAAAATTAAATACCTGGGAATTTTTCTTACAAAAAGTATACGCTTGCTTTACGCGACCAACTATAAACCAATGTTTCAAACACTACGCTTACAATTACAGAGATGGAAATCCTTGAGACTGTCATTCACGGGTAGATTGACTTCAGTCATAATGACATTGTTACCAAAACTGTTGTATTATTTCACAACATTGCCAGTTAGAATACCAATCACCGATTTAAGATCTTTTCAAAAAGAGGTGTTAAAATATATATGGGATGGGAAGCGACATCGGGTATCACAAAAGATACTATGTGCTTCATCAACAAAGGGAGGCCAGGCTCTGCCACACTTTATTACATATTACCATGCAGCCCAATTGAGAGTGGTGCCGGCTCTATCAAGGTTTGATCCTCCTTCGAGCTGGGTGAAAATAGAAGGCCTCTGGCTGGCACCGACCCACCCCAATGCTCTACTATGGGCTGATCCAGTGCAAATACCTAAGGGCGCCATGCTTTCCTCCACAGGGCTTACGCTGGAAATATGGAATAAGTTTAAGTTAGCCAAAGGGCTGACGACGGCTCGGTCCCCACTGACTCCCTTTCTGCTGAATCCAAAAATACCGGCAGGGGTGTCTAAGGACTGGGTAAAGATGTGGCAAACCAGGGGCCTCTTTCACCTTAAGGACCTACTGGATAGGGTCACAAATAGGATAATGCCCTTTGAACAACTCAGGGAGAAACACGACCTTCCTATCAGTGCACAATACGCATATTTACAGATTAAACATTTTGCTTTGTCAATTGCTAAAACACGGTCCTTCCCCTCACGCACCCCATTTGAGACTCAATGTTTGGCGCCCCACTCTTCTAAGGGTGTGATTTCTTTTTTATATAGCATACTAAATGAAGACCCAGTGCAGGAAGAGGTAAACCTTCCCTATATGCGGAAATGGGAAAGTGCTCTAGCAACCACAATCTCACCCCAGCAATGGGAAAGAATATGGAGGATGGCAGCAAAGTCCTCAATCTGTTCGGTCTATAGAGAAAATCAATACAAAACAATGTACCACTGGTACCACACACCAGACTTTCTCCATACGCTCAATCCAAAGCTATCCCCAAATTGCTGGAGATGTGACGGTTCTAGAGGCACCCTGTTCCACATATTCTGGGCATGCCGTAGCATACAACCCTATTGGGGAGAGGTCAAACGCATCCTAGAACAGATAGTGGGTCAGTCACTCTCGGACCTTCCCATACACTACCTTCTGGGACTGCCTTTCCCTGACCTCTCAAGAGCTAATAGGAAATTGACCATGCATATCCTCACGGCAGCCCGCTGTCTCATACCACTGCAATGGAAAAGAAAACTCCCCCCATCTAAAATGCATCTTTTTGCTAGAATTAAAGATGTTCAGGTGATGGAATACCTGACAGCACGGCTAAATGACACGGTTGAAGCCCATAAAGGGGTGTGGGGACCGTGGGATGCATATGAGGTGAGCATGAACTGAGAGGTCTGAAAGGACCAGATGGAGGGGGGAAACTGACCCAGACATAAGGAACCAAGGAGACCAAGATTTGGGAGGAGCCCTGGTATGTGTTGCTCATGATGTACATACAGACTGTTGTCCTGGAAGACGCTTACTTACCTGCACCCACTTTCTCTTCCTTTCTTCTTTTTCTGCTATATTCTTGCATTGTTATAAAGATGTTTAGTTAATTGTTGATGCACCACATTTGAAAGGTATAAGCCGGATAGCCCAGATTAGACAAGAGAAGCCAGAACGAAACTTTATTTGCTATATAGCCATGGCATACAGAACGGTAGGGTGGCGGATGGGGAATATCCCGTCTTCTACGCTATAGTGACACAACGAAATTATGTATGTATAATGGTCTTTGGTTGAATGTTGATTAAGCTTGATACCTCAAATGATGTCATAAGTTTTGTATTCTCTATATGCAACCTTCAAAATAAAAATTGTCAATTTGAAAAAAAAAAATGAAGCTCTACCAAACTGCTGTGGAAAGCTGATTACCTTTGCTCCAGTTTGCTTGTCTCCTGTTTTTGTAAATCAGCCCTAGAGTGCTTCTTGTTATATTGCTTTGTGCATTTAAAATTAGTTAAATAATTGGAGATTAAGGAAAATAATTATTTAGCAATACGTACTTACTTAACTCATTTTAAAAATGTTTTTGTAATATTTGCTTAATGTCCAAAGCCATAATATACAGTACATGAAAAAGCTTGTCAACACTTGAACATAAGTTATTAGCAATAGCATATATGCCTTATATTAAAATTATAAAAACATTCTGGGTAATGTGATTTTTGGTTTCACAACCGTAAGATGCTTTGAGATGTTTCAGTCAACTGTAAAATATAGCTAATATATGTATAATTAAGGACTCTTTGATTTCTCACTAGAGTTGTAGCGGCACTTATGTTCTACAGCTAATTAACTACAGAATGTACGTTTTAAGATTACACTAGTGTAATATACCCCATTCTATTATTTTTTCCTTTCTCTAAGGCACTAGTGAGTTTGTTAGCATGAATGAAAAAGTTATTTTTAGCCTCTTTCCTGTAATACAAATTTGACAGTAAAAATTTAACAGCAATCCAGGGATTTCCTTTAAATTCCCAGCAAACCTTTTGTTGACCTTTCCAGTAACAAAACTGCATTTTTCAGTAACCATAGTTTTTGTATGTACAATATATAAATGTAGTTTAATTAGTTTTAAAGGTAGTAGGTTCAAATTGTTTAACTTTATTCCTGCATACAGACACATGCACTGCATATGAAAAAGTAAAAAAATGCTATTGATTTTAAGAACCTTTTTTTCATGACATCACACACCGTGGGTGATCGAACCGAAGGACTGCTGTATGGGCTAGTCACTTTAGCCCGTAAGCAGCCAAAGGCGCATATGCCTTGGCTCGACTGAGATAAAATGACAACCAAAGTGTGGTGAACAGCCTGCCGAAGGCCGGCCATTCGCCCTGCAAATGACAGCTGGGAGGAGCCAGATGTGATCTCATGGCTCGCTCCGCCCAGTTGTAATGACAGATCAGCGCCCCCAAATGAGCTAGGGACACTAATCTGTCATTAAAGAACTGAGCCGGCTTGGCCCAGGTGTTATTCATTGGTCGGGACCTGCTAGAAGACTCTAGAAGGTTCCAGCCAATAGGAAACAGTTGGGTGGAGCTAGCTGTCACTGCTAGCTCTGCCCAATTGTTTTTTGTTTTTTTATATGTTTTCCTTTTTAAAATATCTATATTTATTTTTTAATTTCACTCTTTATTTAAGTTTTTTTTTAAATGTAACCTTGTCTTCCCCACTAATTTCACCTTTTTCTATTCTGCTCGGTACCACGGAGGTAGTAGTACTATTCACTGCCCTCGGCTATTAGCTATTCACTCACTGCCATTCGGCCCCTATGTGAATAGGGGCGAACGGCAGCGAGTGAGCTGCTGGAGCTTCTGCACAGCTGATACAGATGTTGGATCGGCTGAGTCGAAGTCCTTCTGCGCTTTGGCTCAGCTGAACACGCAGAGCAAGTTCAGCTGCCTGAAGGCAGCCGTACAGAGCCGATGTACGGCTGAAAAAAGCCGTACAAGCCAGAAGTGAATAGCCGAACAGCATTCAGCAGCTTGGTGAATAACCCTGTAAATGTTTGTCTGTTTAAGTGTGGCGATGTCAGATTTTGCTTTGGAAAGAAGAAAGACAAGATTTGCTCCTGTTGATTAGCAATATCACACTACGATGCATAACTGTAATGTTTATAATGTTGCCTTCAAAAATGCTTGATCACTACTAACATACGATGGACACCCAATACACAGATTAGGATAATAAGTCATTCCTGTTATAAACATAAGACTTAAAGCTGAACTACAGACAATATACTGTATTTGTACAGTTTACATACATACTGTATATGGGAGCTGTATTACTTACAAAAATATTTGTGTTTATGTCCAGCAAATTCTGAATTTACACAGCCTTGCCAGACAGCACAGACAGGTAGGTCACCTGACATTTTGCTGTACTCTACTTTTGGCAACATGTTCCTTGTCTGTACATGTGCATGCAGCAGAGCTTGATTTTTTTAAAAATACATAACTGCATGAATGGTGCTTATTTTTTATTTGCCTGGAGTTCAGCTCTAAGTGGATGTACAGGCTTGCAAAAACACTGGTATGGTTATAATTTGAGCTTCAATAAAGGTTTGTTAGGACATATTTTACCTTGTCTTTGAAATATGAACTTTCCAAAATTCTTGGATTGTATATCACCTTGATATTTAAAGACACTCTTTTCTTTTCCAGATGATACCTTTATATGTGAAATAGAATGAAAGTAAAATATTTATTTCATTGTGTTTATTAACCTGCTTGACATTACATTGGCTGTCTAAAAACATCTATGATACAGTCACATTATTCAGTTACATCAGGTACACATTTGCATGCTGAATATAGGAGTTGTACCAGCCTGAAGTGAATAGCCGAACAGTGTTCGGCTCACTTCACTTGGGGGGTCGTTTGTTCACTCGGCTGCCCTCGGCAGCTTAGTGAATAGACCCGTTAGACTTTTCCTGTAAGACTTGCAATTGTTCCCTCCCCCTGCCCACATAATGAGCCTTCTTTTTGGTCCTTTATTGTGAAAGGCAGCTTTTTTGACCAATAGCAATGCTGTGTATGTGAGGAGAGTTGACCAATCCTTTACAGTAAGTTGAGATTGGTGTATGTTTGTGCTGTGGAAATTCAGAACTGAATAAAATAGAAATAAAGATTAAATAAAATAAATATGTATTTGCTGTGTAGGCAATATATTCAATAGCTATTGATTTACTAAACAAAATACTTTTAATTTTTAGTGAAGTGAAGCTTTCTCTACTTTAAATACCTGATGTGCAGGGAAACCTAAAATATTGCTGGATTTTTCCTTAAATTTGGTAAGTAAACATGTGCCACTACTTTAGTGGAATAACCCCAATGAGTGTACAGTTGGGATATTTTATTATCTGAAATATTGTCAAGGTTATTTCCCAGCAGAAAAATAACTTTTTTTTCTAGGTGTTATTGACAAATATCTTTTGCCTTGAAAAAAAGACAGTATCTACCTTACAGTACACTAATACATTGCATGTCCTATCTCAAAGTGGGTTCCCAAATGTGCAGTGTGCCCAAAGTGTATCTAATAGGTATGCCTTAAATTATAATGTAACCTTACAAATCAACTTGTGCTCTAAAAAATGTCAGCATCCAAATAACTAGTACACTGCACACCATATATCAAAGTGGATTTCCAGGTTTGAACTGTGTCCAGAATATATCAAGGTTTGCTTGCCTTAAATCAATTATAGTGTACCCTTACAACTTGCAACATGGAACCGGTGAAAAAAGTTTACAGGAGACTTATAAACTTACATAACCATCAATCGCCCAGTGGTCATTTTGAAACTTTTTTGTTAAAGTTTCTGATGAACCCTTTATCTGGAAAGCTATCAAAAGCAAATGGGCTTCTTCTTTCTTATAAATTCCTAAGGAACAATGAAAATAATGATAATTGGAATAATAAAAACAACAACTAATGTACCATGGTGGGGCAAAGAACCATCAAGATATACACACATTTAATAATCTGGCTATGATATGGGTCTGCTAGAGATGCATTTAAAGAAATATATAAAAATACAGTAGCATGTTACCAATTAATCACAAAAAAATGCATGATCGGTTGTACTTCTAATGGAAGTGCCAAAGGTGGCATACAGGTTATATACTAGTATCAGTATCCAACAGAAAACGGAAAACAATTAAAACAATTAGGCAATAACTCACAGCACCATATAATATATCGTGATAAAATAAATCAGTTAAACTAAATGAAGGATATAGAGTGAACTACTTTATATATACTTTAAGACAAGGTTCTTTAAAAGGTTAGAAAAAATAATAAAGCATATTATTAACATATACTCCACAGACATTTATTCATGCCTACCTGATAACTTTAATTCACTGTTGTTAGTATCTAAAAATGTTCCATTAACTTTGCTGCTTGTGTTATTGAACCAGTCAACAGTTAAAGTTGCTGAATATTGCTTCCCGAGGTACTCATAAAATCCTTTCCACACAGAATTTTTTGAAAAAACATCTGATGGGACTAAAAAGAAAGAAAACAATATTCATCCTATGTTCATATTTTTCTGGCTGTTATTCATGTACAGTATACTGATGTTTTAACAATTAAATAATTAAGCTATACTAATTGCGTTGTTTTTATTAATGAGTACTTATCTACTGACATCATGTCATTTTGGATAAAATATACTGTATGTGACCTTTATAAAAATTAAACTTATATTTATATGATACAGTATAATATATTTACTGTCAACCTTATAAATATCCATACACAAAAATATCAGACATCTGTGTACCCACTTGCTAGAAGAGAAGCAAAAGGTATCATCGCAAAATAGATTCAGGGACACAGAAGCATTGCTATCAATGGAATAAAAACATTTCAATTTTACAAGAAGCCTAAAACATTGCTACACTGATGCCTGAGTTAAGTAACTAACTAGCAGTACAGTAAGAATATAGACATAAGTGACTTAAATGATATTATAGATGAATACACTCAAACACTTAGCCTGGCAATATTTAGATATATCCAAAGACTAGTTTATGGCTGACCAGCTTCTCCAGCTTTTACCCTCTTCTCCCTGCTGAGCTGAATGGTGAAATGTTTGATTCAATGTCCTCTTGGACAAAGCTACAGCCTTTACTCTGCACATCTGCTTTTGTATGGGACTGGACTGACATATAGCTTCAATGTTAAACACTGTATATTGTGATTGGACTTACATTGGAATTTGGCTTAACCTTCCAAAAGTCAGCCAACATTTGCTGTAAATCTGTCCTATAGAATATGATCAGTATGCATGCTCTGTTACACTCAAATATGTTTACAATTGTCATGATCTCCCTTTGGGATATATTTATTGTATTTGTATACAGGTTCCAGGGTGGCGCATTTGTTTGCATTGCTCCTTTTTATGTTTACCATGAACCATCCATTTAATCTATTCAGTTCACAGATGATGATAGTGATAATACTAATGTTTTGTTCTAATGAAATCTCTAATGCTGTTCTAATGACACTTCTGTACTCTTTGTACATATTGGGGGTTTGTGGTCACCTATAAAATAGTATTTAGACACATCTGAATATTGCCAGGCTGAGTATTTGGGCATGTTTATTTAAAACATAAGTTGAGTGATTTTTGACTATATTGTTATTCTACTGGTAGTATCTTAGAGGCCACACTGTAGTGATGTTTTAGGGGTTTTGTACAATTGAAATGTTTTTCATTCCATTGTTAAAATCTGTGAGTGTAAAGAAAGCATTGAAAGTAAAGTATTTGATGCTACTTTATAAAAGATTAATATAATACAAAAAGAATGATTCATACCAAGTAATATATACATAGTGAAATACATAAGGATAAGTATCGCTTTGTAGAAATCACAGTATAGAATACTCATTTTATATCTCCCTTAAAATGTTTCACATAATATTTAAATATGTCTTGTTTATTTGTTGGTATTTGGTTTACATGCTAATATCGCCTATACTGCCTTACTGTACTGCTGAACCTGTTCTGTGTATCACACAATATTTACAAGGTGGATTTGTATTACAAAAATGTAATTGTACATCATCATACACAGTTCCTTTATGTTGATAACATATTTTCTAAAATATTCCATTGAGAACAAATTCCACTGATTGTCTATTAGTTTAGTTGATCACTAATTGTCAATTAACAGTTTATTTTATTGGCTACTAGTTATCATAGCCTTAAATGTACAGACCTTTATTGAGCAGTGTTCATGCTAGTTAAAATACTATCAATTCAATTTCAACAAACCTGGAGTCTTTGTGACTGTTGTGTTATGTTCCCTTAGACCTTTGCCTGTAAAAATAAGCACATTCATATTTAATATTTAGGGATATTATTTAAACAGAAAGAACAATAAATATATGTACAGTTTGACACATCAAAATAAACTGAGATACTGCAAACCCGTGTTATTTATAATTGTTTTTTTGCTGTATCAAGATGTTATTGGAAAAAATAATCAGGCAGTCAAGATGTAAGATATCTGGTTTGTTGTAAATTTGTGCTGCTGACCACATTTTTTATGTAAAGTAGCTAACAAATTAAGAAATATTAAAAATTTGATAGAATTTGTATGTTTTCTGTAACAATTTCTATTGTGTATCAGAACCTAATCTTGGTTGATATCTTGGTGTAAAGAGTGCTTTCCCTTGATGCATCCTTTGATGTATTACCCCAGCAGACCTCATTTTAGTTAAAAGATAAGGGTTCCAACTGCAGCAGCATTTAGATATTCATGTGTATATATCTATATAGATATCCATATATATATATACAGTAGATCTATCTATCTAGATAGATAGATAGATAGATAGATAGATAGATAGATAGATAGATAGATAGAGATAACCTATAGCCCTGTAGTCATTATTGTCTCTACATCACAATATGTTTCCAAACAACTTAATTTGGTTCTAATATGTATCCAAATGAGTTCCCAGCATTGTAATAACAACAGTAGCATTTATTTGTGCTGTTCATTATGAAAGAAAGGGAGACAGTACAGTTAGAAAAACAATTCAAGACAAAAGGGTTAGGAGGGCCCTGGTGGTGAGAGCTTACAATCTAAAAGGGAGGGGTGTGTGATACAAATGGTAATAGTTATGAAGGGATGAATTCATGGAAAAGTATAAGTTCAGTTTTTACGTAGAAGCAGGATAGGCTTCCCTAAAGCGACAAGTTTTCAGAGATTGCCTAAACGGGGACAGAGTGGGAGATAGCCAGATAGATAGAGATAGGGAATTCCAGAGGATTAGAGAGGCTCTGGAAAAGTTTGGGAGATGAGCATGAGGAAATGAGGGAGCTAGATAGCAGGCCATCTTGGGAAAAGCAAAGAGGTTATTTTGACTGAAATGTTGAGACTAGGTTGGTGATGTAGCCCAGAACAGAGTTGTGGAGGGATTTATATGTTGTTGTTAGCATTTGGATTGTATTCACTGTGTGAATAGAAGTCAGTGACAGGATTGGCAGTGTGGGGTGGCAAACACTGAATCCTGAAGGTGGAGGAATTCTGGCAGAAGCATTAAGGTAGACTGAAGTGGAGGTAGCCTGTGTAGAGGTAGTCCAAGGAAGGAGTTGCACTAGTTGAGGTGAGAGATAACTAGGGAGTGAATTAGCAGTTTGGTGGGTTTTTAATGGTTTGGAAGATGCAAAGCTTATCAATGTTACCAAGGTGAAGGAGGTAAGATTTGGATAGAAATTGAATGTGGGGCCAGAAGGAAAGGTCAGAATCCAGGATTACACTTAGCACCATGGCATGAGGAAAGGGACTGGTTTTTGTATCATGAATCTTGATAGAAAAGTTGGGGGAAGGGGCTATGTGGGAGGAAATAGAATGCTTATTTTTGGAAAGACTGAGTTTAGGAAAGAGATGTGACATCCATACTAATATGTCAGTAAATCACATTCGTAATTAAATTTAAAACATTAAGGTCATTTTAGACATGTGTTTGTGTTTGACTTATGTGACTGAGCAGACATTACTTTCCTTTTTTTAGGATTTTTTCCTTTACCTGGTAATCCTATCAATAACACACTTCCTATCCCTGGATATCTACACTCACTTCTATACTATATATTCAGAGAGAGCTATGACTGTTCAAGGTGACAAAACTGCTCTCCTTACTTTGACAACAAACATGTCTTCCTCTCCTCATCTCCATTTTTTAGGGGAAGGGTAGTTGCAGTTTACAGATGGTAGTTTGGCAGGAGGATAGCATTGTTTTTTATTACAGTTTAATTCACAGAAAGTGACAAGGACACAAAATGTCTGGCACGATTAACATATATTTTTCCCAACTTGCTAAAATTACTCTTGGCCTGCAAAAAGCCTAATGCATCTCCACGCTGGTAAATTGCACTATAATTCATTTTTGTTTTTGGATTAGATATACTTTAATGCATTTCTTGTTTATTAGATTGGCAACTGAAGAATCAAAACCGAACTAAAATATGTGCTGTGTATTAATATGTTCTTTAAACTATTGCCTTCTTTACTAAATGTTTAATGAAGGATAACTAATGATTGTTTTGTTATGTTGCCCTTTGGATTGTTTTGATTGCTGCCCTTGGTTGTTTTCCTGCCCATTCATTTATAGTATGCCAGATAAAATGTAATTTGTGATGCAAGTCAAAACCTTTGTGGTCAGAATGGGAATTTTTGTTTTGTTTTTGAAGCCGTTTCAATTTGTTCCCGAAGTACCGTCAGTGTAGCCGGTTTTCTATGGTACACCACCTCCTTTAAGATCCACCATAGGTAGAAGTCAAGGGGTGTTAAGTCAGGAGAACATGGGGGAAATTCAAATGCACCTCTTCATCCTATCCATTGTCCTAGCAAATTCTCATTGAGGTAAGTGGCAAGCGTGTAAACGGTTCCAATGCCATATCAGAAGAAGCAGGACTTGTTGCTGGATCTTCCCTTGTGCACATCACACACAGTACCATGCATCTCAAACTTATCACAAATGTGTGCAATTGTCACCTGTTTTATGGTGATGCTATTTAAATGAAAAAAATAATAATTTGCATCTAACTAGGTGCTCTGGCTTACTCTGACTTAAAAAGTAGTAGATTCATTTTCACCTGCAGATACCTAGGTGTGTACACATATAAAATGATAAATATAATAGATTGGCTAACCAGAAAATCTACTTTTCACACAGCACAAGGAATTATGTACAAGGGCATTTTCTCTTCTGAGGAGTTCTGATTACGGCAGATTACTGCAAGTAGGGCCATAACTATAAGTGACATTCTAAAATGCTTATAAGGTCCCTTGGCTCTCAAACCTTCAATCCCAATAACAATTCTTCAGCCATTCTAAAACAACTAACACCACAGATTGTTAATGGTTTTCACAGCCATTCAAATGAACTTAATCTTTATTAATTGCCAATTATTGCCAAATACTAATGCTGTCTGCAGAAACTTTTCTAGATCTACACCATAATGTGCATCCTGTACTTCTGGGCATCACAGCAGTCACACGAGCTGTTCTAATTAAAGTTATGCTCATGCCTGATGATTGGATTTTGTCTAGCTTGTAGAATCAGTTAAGGAATGCACCATGAAGTGTGTACTGATATTCAACACTGATGGTAGACATCATACTGCCCAAGACACACTAAAATTATGACATGATTTTCTTCAAACTCTTTGTGCTTCAAGTGACTACTTTAAAAAAAGAACCCCTGTTCTTCAAAGTTTATGCAGAATGTTGATATCCATGTTCTTGCCTATGCCTATTGCATTTGAAGAGTAACCATCTGATTGGTTTGCAGGAGTTTACTTTCATTGAAAACTTTTAAAGAGCATACATGCGCATTTTAAGCATACCTTATACATTTGTATGATAATAAGTTTAAAAAATCATACCTTCCCCATTAAAAGAAAAATGCTTACTTTTGCAAATCGGTGGTTTGCCTGTCCACTTCATATCACTTTTACATGTTCTGTGCTCCGACCCACCTGCCAAAAAATATCCTGGCTGGCAAGTGTATATTAAAGTATATCCCAAAGTAGGTAAGTCTATTGCCCTCACATCAGCATGTATAGGGGTCTCTGGTTGCCTACATGCATGAGCTGGAATAAAAAAAACACATAAGAGAAAACAGGAATAAATCAGTAATACAATATTAATATAGTATATAATAAACAATAATAATAATATAATAACATTTAGTTATGGATACTAGCCCTTTCTTTATTTAATGGCACAAATTAAAAAGAGAATGAAAACAATTTAAAAATGCTCACCAGAATCACCAAATCAAAATATTGTCTTAAGGACATGTTTTGTCAGTTATTTGACATTGTATGTTAACCACTGATATAACTACTCGAAGAACTGTATTAACAGGAAAAATATCATAAAATAAAAACCCTAACCTAACTAAAAAACAGGATTTAGGAAACAACATATAGTATAGCAAGCTTTTCAGTGTCTACATTGCATTTTGGACTGCTAAAATGCCAAAACATATGTTTTCCAAGTTCAACTACAGTTGCTGCTACAATACAGGTACCAATTTTCTCCAGGCCCCCCTCCCAAATACACCAACAACCTGCACTCCTTGATCACCACCTAATTTGTCTGTTAATGTGACTCACAGTCCTTGCATAATGCTCTTCTTTAACCTCTTGCCGTCCGCCCGTAGTAGAAAAACGGACGGACGGCACTGCTGCATTGGCGGGTTGCCGTCACCAGACGGCATTTTTTTTCTGCTCGCGCAGGTCTGTTTGGCATCATGGGAACAGGTTACAGTTTAGGAGGGCAGACTGATATAATGAGAAGTCATGCAGCGATTTAGTTTTGTGCCATAGTCACAAAACTAGTGTCTTTTGACTGGTGTTGTTAGTTTGCCAGGGTTGTAGCGGTCAATGTCTAATTCTGTGTGTATTGTGGGAGGCTGAGAGTGAGCTGTTGTAGACAGAAATGGCCAGGTTAGAACAAGTTAGGGGCAACATTTTGTTGTAGAGGTAATCAGTAGAATCAATAGAGAAGTAAAGGGTTGACGTGGCTTAGGTTTGTACGTGGTGAAGTAGCAAAGGTTTAAAATTATATCTACATTGTAATATGAACAATAGTCCTTTTTTAAAGGAAATTATGCAATTCATGTAGCAGTGTGGTTCTTTTAGATAAAAGCATGATCTATACCAAAAGAAAATCTTCAAGCCGAGTTTTGCACATTAAAGAGCATTGCAATAAAGGTAACTACTGTATCTAACCACTTTTACAATAAAATTGTCAAATAATGAATGTCTTTAATGTAAAAATACAAAGACCTGAAAAAGTCTTACAAGTGGGAGCCAAAGGCAATAAGGTGATAAAATGTAAAGCCTTCCAACACAAATCATTTACTAAAAAGCAGTGTCCAGAGGGTCACTATGGCAACATAAAATGCACACTAGAAAGCCAAAGCAATGTCCAAAGGGAGAGCAAATACACATAAGATGAATGCTTGGAGGTCAAGAAACAGAGAATAGCATTTCATTAATGAACTCAAGGGAAAACCTCTCTTGCTGAAATCACTGGTATTCAGGAACAGATTTAAAAAGGAAATAATACAAACTGTTTCAACCTTCAGCCCTACAATGGAAAATTATTTTCTATAGTAATAATTTACTTGGTTTTTTAGTTCATATAATTCCACAATACTTTTTGGGCCCCTTTACAATAGCACATCCACTAAAACGCTGCATTTTAGTAGAAGGTCTAATGCGTTGTGGCAGCTCTGGCAGTGTACCGTACACTGTCTGAGCTGTCACTGCGTACATTTGTTTAAACGTTATTAGTAGTGGACAATGTGTACACTCTATTTAGGAACCACATGGCAGCGTGGTGCACTACATGGCAGCGATCTATGGTAGCCTGCAGCACAATAAAATGCTGCATGTTTGCATTTTAGCGCAGTACATTTTCCATCACACCCTTGTTGTGATGCTAATTGATAAACTCTGTTGATATGATGTGGTATAATGTAGATCACTGTAGTAAGTGTGAATGGCCCCTTAAACGGAGCTTGAGCTGCTTAGCTGACTTCTGCTCTAAAACAGTGGTTCTCAAATTGTTTAATCTCAGGACTCACAGTTGTCCTTGGTCATTAAGTTACGACCCAAAAATGATTTCAGGTTACATACACATGCATGCCCCATGCACACATGTTTATCTGCAGGTAGATGGCAGGGGCAGCAGGGTTGGTTTTAATTTATGTTTTTTTGTTTGTTTGTTTTTTAATCACTTTTTAAATTGCTACTTTACAGCTGCCCAGGTCACTTGTAGAAAATGAGCAGTGGAGCCCCTGCCACCCCCTCCTCCACCTTCTGCACTGACAGGGGAAAAGCTAGCAGCATTGACATTATGATCTGTTTTTATCTGTTCACCACCCATATTTATCAAAACATATGCACACCTCTCCCAGCCTCCACAGTCTCTGGGCAGGCTGTACTCCCTTCGGATAATCAATAAGTCAAGTGTTCAGTGCTATTAACAATAAAATCATAAAATAATGTCCTTTTTTGTTACAATACATGCACTGATCCAGATACTGTAAATGTAAAATGTCTCTGTTGATACAATATTTATAAAATATATATTCCAGATGATGAATCCTCCCAGCTGTACTCCCTTTTTGAAATTCATCCACCACACTGGGGTGGATTGATATCTGCTGCACTGGGAAAGGACTGTGCAGGCTGGAACTTTAACTTAATTATCCAGAGCTGCAGCAACTAATATTACTCCAGGGGCTGAAAGTGATGAATTAGTCTCCTTTCTCCATGGGCACCTTGCTGAACTGATAGGGCCAGGGGATAGAGGGGACTATTCAATCACTTTCAGCCTGTGGAGTAATATCAGGAGCTTGGGCTCCAGGTAAATAAGTTAAAGTTCTAGCCTGCACTGTTCTTTCCTAGTGCAGGAGATATTAATCCACCCCAGAGAGGGAACTGTTTCATAATACATAGGAGTCTCTTGCACGCTGCCACAAAAAGTTCCCTCTCTGTCTCCCTGCTGAATGGGGCAGGAGGGGCAGCTCTATGGTCCAAGGATGCTTTGATCCTCTATAGAAGGGGTTGCAACCCACTTTTGGGTTGCGAACCATTATTGGAGAACAAGGGGTCTAAAACAGACATGTTTAAAATTCTACTTAAAGGGTATCTATGGTCAAAATCTAAACATGTATTTTTATAATGAATGTCAATATGTTCCTTCCATCTCCTAATAACCATATCAATCTAGAAGTTTGTAAACTTATTTACTGAAGATGCCCATAGGATGTACTTCCTCAATGCACTGACACAATTTCACTCAGCGCTGTGAATATGCAGTTACATAGTTACATAGTATTTGAGGTTGAATAAAGACATTAGTCCATCAAGTAGTTTTATCATGTGTGTCAAACCCGTTTCCCTCCCGATTGTATACTGAGGAGAAAAAAGCGTTCAGTGCCTCGGCCCTCTCCTTGTCGTTTGGGACTAGCTTCCCGCTTCCATCCTCTTTGGGCCTATCTGCTCCTTTCTCACCTTTTTACTGTTAATATATTGGTAACAATTTTTGGGGTTCTTTTTACTATCTGCGGTGATATGCTTTTCACACTCCCGGATTTCTAGTTTAAATTTTTTGTTACATTCTTTGTAGTTAAGGAACGCCAATGCCATCCCCTCCATCTTATATTTTATAAATGCCGCTCTCTTGTCCTTGACGTGTTGTTGTGCCATAACTCATAGAGCCTGCCTTCTGAACTACAACTCAACATCCGAACATTGTAACATTGTTTCCTTGAAGCAAAACATCATGGGCTATGTAGTTTTGAGGAATTGATTTTGCATCATATCAAGCAGCAGGGAAAGGGATGCAAAGCACAATGGGAATACAGGAAGTTGTTGAACGTGTTGGGCACACAGAAGGCAGCACTCACTACATAAAAGCAATTTTTTGGAGTAAGCTTTGACTGCATTAAAAAAAAACTATACAGTAGATGTATTTCTATTACACTGCTGATGTTATAACAGGATGATATATGCTGTGAATTTAGAACACCTTTATTATAGTGATAATTGGATCTGGAGAATTGCTCTACATCAATTTTTGATTCACCTGAATCTATGAAGAAATATTCTGTTTAGGAATCTGTGCAATAATGATTTATAAATTGCCCAGTACTACAGACTGGACAATGGTTGTACATATATTTAGTAGAAGCAAAACAAATTAAATTTGAAGATTTTCCCTAATTATCAAAAAAGGTTATTTGTTAATTGCTACTAAATGCAATGCTAAGCAAAGTGCTATGAAAAATTATTGTTTGAGGTTTCTTCCAAGGAAGTTTGCTGTGGAAGGAGTCCATACTTGCAAAATATGAATTTTCACATTCCTATAATAACCATGATTTTCAGACCCTTTGTTTATGTCACAAAATAAAATATGTTTTCTATAAAAGACTGATTTTATATATGTGAGACTGATGAATATCAGATCACATTCTAGGAACCATTTATGTAAAAATCCACTAGGATTCATAAACTTTTTCTCACAATTTCATATCATTGTCATTTCTTTGAAAGGTGGCAAAAGGTTTATCTTCTAAAGGCTTGGTGGGCAAAGTTTCCTCTGCTCACTTAAAACAGCCAACAAGGTTAGATAAAAGGTCTTCAGATTCAGTTTTTTCCTTCTCCATGCCTCTGGTTGGTACTTAATCATGGAAGATAAGTTTGTCATTGCAAATATAAGAAAATTACTTTTGAAATCTCTTTGTGTGGACAATCTGAAGGTTGTGGAAAATGCTGAACAATACCAGGCCTGTTAACTTTAAAGATCTCCTCACTGGAATATGGTGCTGCTGGATATTAAAGAATTTACAGCTTGTTATTGCTAAAAACATCAATTACCTGGCTTGCCCTTGACAGAGAAGTAAGACATATTAAGAAGGTTTTTACATGACAGGCAGTTTCAAGGGAACATTGTTTGATGGGCAACTAAACCCTTTGTAAATCAGCAAAAGACTGTCATTAAAAAGTTATATATAAGATTGAAAAAACTTGATTCATTGATAAAAAAAATGATAAAAACATATAGCCTTTCATTTTTGAAGATTTGTCAACATACCATCAAACATATATTAATAGAATTGAACTGTTAAAATAATTTATGCAAATCTATAGAACTAATAATTATAATTGGCTGTTTTTTCACTCTTTTTTTTCCTTGTCCCTTATTTCCGTCTTTGCATCTTTAGGTTTCTTTTAAGGTAGTTAATGCTATCAGAACAAGAAATACATTTCAGTAAAGAGGCGATAATTTAAACTGATGCAAGCACTAGTGGTACTTACGGATGCATTCTGGCTGAGTTCCACTCCACGTTAAATTAGCTAGACAATTACGTGTAGTGGAGCCTTGGATATGGTAGCCTTTGCGACATCTAAAGAAGACAGTACTCCCAATCTTCAAAAAACAAAAATATCAGAAATATGTCAGGAGTCTCAGAATGAAGTAAGTAAAGATACGGTAGCTATTTAAATGATAATGAGGCACATAAATGAAAGTGCAAACTCTTCTTTTTTTCATAAGACAAAATGTATGTCCAAGCATTTATTTTTTTCCTCTTTGACAAGCAAGTAATTGTATATGGAAAATGTTTTAAATATCAATACACATTATATATATATATAATTTGTACACATGATTGCAGGAGAGTAGAGTACAGCCAAAATGACAAATATAGTGCTGCTCCTTCATGGTCCAATAATAGGCCAATGCTGTATTCTTTACCACCAGTGTAGTCTGCAGAGAGTTACAAGACCTGGCATATGCTGTGTAGCTAGAGTGTCTGGCCCACAAAATTTGGCTCAGCAGAATTACAAAACCATGGGCAGGTAGCACAGTATGTATGTGTGTGTGTATATGTATGTGTATATATGTATGTATGTATATATATATATATATACACTATTAAACACTGATTTTTATTCTTATCACTGATATCTGTTCAATTTGCAAAGAAAAGGTGAAGAATACATCCCTTCAGAAAGAAAAGGTATACTGCATAACCTAAAACATTCTCAGAATTACTGCCGGAGCTTAAACAACAACATAGTATAAGCTTGGAAAGTTTTTATTTGATGCATAAAAACAAAACTAAAATTTCTATAGTCTAGAGCACATGTCAGTTATGATCTACCCATTGATCATGGCCATGTGACGGGTATATTTTGATGCTGATGTGACGCCCAGTTGCATAACTGGCACCAGGCACCTGGAGAAAATGCCCTGCATTTCTTGTTGGGTGCCCCAAGCCCTAGCCTTTTTGTTTTTTAACAAATTGATGACCGCTGCTGTAGCACCACCTCCTCAAGTCATATTACTAGTAGGCACAGTGTCTGCTAAGGAATTCCCTGGCACAGACCTTTTGGTGGTAGTCAACACTTGTGCACATGTGTCAGAGCTTGTGTGAGAACATGTGTGCAGTGTCGGAACAGGTTTGAGGAGGGGGTGCAATTTCAAAAAAGGTGTGTGGTGGCGCGCAATGGTGACAGCAGTGTTGGGGGTGCAGTGTTGACAGATATGTGTGGCTGTAGAGTGTTGGAACTGGTGTGCAAGAGGTACCGTGCATAAATATGTGGGGTGTGCAAGGGGGGGGGGAATTAAAACAATTGTCTGTAACAATTAAATTAGCTGTTTGCCACTGAAGATTAAAAATGGCAGCTGAAACCTGGATAAACGTATCACCAAAAACAGTTTTTCCTTTTGCTTAAGTTTTCATAAATCTGGCATACTGTATTTTTTTTCACAGACCTGTAAACATATAGAGGGGAATGCATTAAAACTGGAGCAGATTTGCATAGCAACCAATCAGCTTCTCTCTTCAGTTTGTTCCGTTAAGATTTGAAAATGAAAGAGAGAAGCTGATTGGTTACCATGCACAGCTGCTCCAGATTTTATCTGCTCCAGTTTTGATAAATTCCCCCCATAGTATCTTGTTTTTTTTTTGCTGCAGCTTTTCGGAAAAGGGGTAGAAATGCTAGGTGTACTAACATATGTTAATGAAAATATTATTAATAAACTGAATGGAATAACTGTTCAAATTATATTTTAATTCAATTATCCTAAATTGGTAACAATTTAACAATGCTTATTAAATGTTCTCATTACCTCGTAGGCCTTGGAACTGTTTTGCATGCCATAATGAGGTGTACCAGGGTCTCTGCAAGTATTATGAGCTGGATCTGAAAAGCATGCAAAATTTAAACATAAGGCAGGGTTACTATAGAAACCATCAATCATACTAGCTTATTTGCTTTTACCAAAAAAGCATTCCATTAAAATTAAAATAAAATAGGGGACATGAGAGATGTCAAAACTACTCAAAGGAAAATGTAGTTCTCACATAAAAAAATAATTAATCTAGCAATCATAGCTAAGTATAACTTAATTGTTTTATTCTAAGAACCAGAAAAGAAAAATAACCCACTTTGTTTTGATAATTCCTTGAATATTTTTATATGTAGAATGACACCTAAAGAAGGTACTCGTTTGGATCTGTTAAAGAGACACTTTCATCTTGACCAAGCAGGGCAAAGTGACAGTGTATCTGCAAAGCTCTCTCTCCCCCAGACTCCCATATACTCACCTTACCTGTGCTCTGCCACAACTCTTTCCTCCTCCGCAGCTATTTACAATGCCCAGCACTTTTGGGAATGATGGAGCATTAGTCCCAAGTGACAGTGCTCAGGTCTATCAGCCAAACACTATGTCTAAACTCTGCCTGATAACTAGGGAAGTGATGTCCCTACTCCCACAGGTTGCTGACACTAATTATTTCAGTGAATGGGGAAGGCAGCTATGGATCGCTAATGAGGTGAGCATAAGGGGGATGGGATGATTGCAGAGACTGACTATGTCCTGCATGAGCAATGTGACAATGTCTCTTTAAATGGTATGATTGCAACTGGTTCTAAAATACATAGACTGGATGCATTGGCTTGGACCTAGCCAGCAACCTCTGCCAGGATACCACTGTTACAAAAATGCTTTCTTGTTTTTGCCCTTACCTGAATTATTGCTATGAGAATGTGTAAGTAAACACATAAGATGATTGCATCTCTAATGATGATGAGAAAAGATTTATGGTGTATAACCTTACGGAGAAAAACTACCTCTTTGCATCACACAGACAAAGGCCTATTGTGTGTAATGTAATGGTAAACTGGTTTTAGGTATTTAAAAAAACATATTTCCTGCACTTGATCATTTTGATCATTTATGTAATAATAATAATAGTCATCATCATCATCACTGATCTTTATAGTTCTGGCTATCATGCTTGTAGATTATTAAATTCACTTTTTTAATTCTCATTTCTAAAAAAATATAATTGTTTTTCCCTATAACTAGTCATTTGTAATTAAACAAAAGACACTGCGCTATCTCTAATATTATAAAACTCTAAGTGCATATACTTAGTGACAATTATACAAAATGTTCACTCCAACTGATATATAGTCCATATAAAAATGTTCCCAAAATTGATATGATCAAAAATAAATGTGATGACATCCTTGTGTTCACTTTCTTTACATCAGTGAGTCAAATAATCATTGCATATAAAGTTCCACAATCACTAGTGACTTCTGTGCTTCAATTCCTCGTCAATTAATCACCAGTGATCTACCTCCAGGTGCACTAACACTAGCACACTCACCGGATAATTCTGACCACCCAGTGGTCTTCAAACGCTCTGCAAAATTCCCTGGTGTCCGATGTCTCCCTCTCCACTGAATCACCAACAGCTGAAAATGATGAGTCTGCACGATGTCTTTACCAAATCTCTCTTATCCACTCAAAATAGAAAACCAAGATGGCATATAGTGTAAAACTGCTAGATGATAGTTCATTCATAAAAATCAGAACACTTACATTTAAAAGAGTTTTGTGGAACTTTATATGCAATGATTATTTGACTCACTGATGTAAAGAAAGTGAACACAAGGATTTCATCACATTTATTTTTGATCATATCAATTTTGGGAATATTTTTATATGGACTGTGAACGTTTTGTATAATTGTCACTAAGTATATGCACTTATAGTTTTATAATATTAGAGATAGCGATTTGATATATTGTGGGAGAAGTTTATATAGCTTTTCTCTATCTCTGTAGCTGTCAATCGGGTGTTATTAAGGAGTTTGGGGTAGAGCACTATAGCGCGGATAATCATTTGTTTTGCTAGTCATTTGTAATTGTTTTCAAATTCAATTCCAAACATTTTCAGAAAAGATAAAATCATAAATAATTCACATACCAATACAAGAGGGCTGAATACCACTCCACATGCCATCTGACTGGCAAATTCTTCTAGATGATCCAACCAAAATAAAGGGGGGTCTGCACTGAAAAGAAACTTCAGATTTGTAGGTAAAACTCTTGCCATTGAGACGTCCTTCGGCTGGAGTCCCAGGATCACCACAGAACACAGCTATTAAAAGAAATGCTTGACATAAGTTAAATATATAGTTGCATTTAGGTCTATAAACAATATGAGTTAACCAGTTGACATCCGCGGTGTTAAACCCCCTTCCCATCCAGGCCATTTTTCAGTATTCAGCGCTGCGGTACTTTAACTGACATTTATTCCGTCATGCAGCGCTGTACTGAAATTAATTTTATACCCTTTTTTGGGGACAGATAGAGCTTTCTTTTGGTGGTATTTATTCACCAATGGGGTTTTAATTTTTTTATATATGAAGGAAAAATTACAGATTTTTTTTAAAAAAAACAGTTTCCCCTATATTAAATTCTAAAACATTTATAATTTCCCAATTTTTTGGTAAAATATAAAAGACGGGTCTAGTCGGGTAAAGAGACACTAAACATGTCAAGACTTAAAATTGCGCACGCGCGCGAAACCTCAAAAAAACTAAATTACCCAAAATTGGCCATAGGCGACGCATTAAAAGCTTTTACCGCTCATCAGTTTAGTGTTATCAGTGATTGATGGCCCTAAAATGATTGCTTTCACTGCGACGTTCGCGGCGATATGTAACATGTGTAGCGCAATTGTCATTTTCGCGTGCTGGCGCATGCGACGCATATTTACGTTTAAATGTGCGTAAACGAAGGTGGGGGGACTTAAACATTTGGGGGGGGGGTTTACTTTTTTTTATTTGTGACCTGTTATTTTTTTAAACTTTTTTTGTTTGTGACTTTTATTTTTTTTTACTTTTTTTATTTATATAGATTTTTTTTTTTACACTTATTGTTATTGCTATTATATAGGGGGATACCATCCCCCTATATAATAGCACAGGTACACTGACAGGTCCTCTTTATGGAGACATTAGGGGTCTCTAGACCCCTAATGTCACCTGGAGACCCCAAAAGAAGCTGATGAAGCACAGATTTGCTTCATCAGCTTCTTCTATCTGGCATAGGAGCCAGATGACTGACAGGTGAATGCGGAAGTGATGTAATACACATCACTTCTGCATTCACACTACGGAGGGAGAACAGCAAGGAGCTGATCTCCCTCCCTCCTCCTCCTGATGCCCTCCCGAGCCGGTACCGGGCCGCTGATGGGGCAGCGGATCCCGGGATTAAAGGTGAGGGGTCAGGAGGGGGGAGATGGCGGCACCCGCGATCGCGCGGGGGAGCCCTCCAAAATTCACGCCATACAAGCGATCAGCGGCTATAGAGCCGCTGATCGGTTGTATGTGAAACAGCCGTTAACGGCTGAAGTAACAAGCGGGTCTTTCCTGCCCGTGCAGGAAAAAAATGCCCGAGCAGGAAAAAAATGCCGTCTGACGACGGCAACCCGCAGATAGGAGTCAGCCGTCCGTCCGTTTTTTCTTAACGGGCGGATGGCAAGAGGTTAAGTATAAGGTCCCGTACACACAAATGTTAAAATGAGTATGAGGTCCTTTAGGTCAAGGCCAAAGATTATGTAGGCAAATGAATCAACATGTACAGACAATCAGCAAGATTTTAGTTTTTCTTTCCATAACTCTATATTATAGTGATGAAATATAGTATTATCATGTCATCATAAAGTGCAATATTGTAGTTCAGCAAATATTGTAAAAATAAGGAGTATGAGGGGAAAATCAGTTCTCATACTCCAATAAAAACTATTACTATATTATAACTACAATGTATTTCTGCTTAAACTGGACATTTCCTTTTAAGTACATGTAAATCTTTACTGAATGATATTTAATTGTTAAAGTACTATTTGCATATACAGTTTACATATATCTTGTAAAACCATAATTTTTTCAAGTATTTTTCATTTTAAGCTGCATATTTGCACTGTTGAGCTTCTACAGTATTGCAACCTTCATACTGGTTTGAACTAATTAGTATAGCACTCTTAACAAACATTTCTGTGGACTCCTTGGGTTAACCTTGTCGACAGTGAGATGTCTCCAAAGTTTAGGATTTCTACTACTTATCCACATCCAATCAAGAGGGCCAAGTGCTCCTACAATACACATCTATTTACTATTTGCAGTATGTCTTGACAGGAATCAGGTAACATAGAAGAGCATGTTACAGGGTGTTAATGAAGGAAAACAATTAGGAGACAGCAATAGAGTATCATCGCCTTACCAAAAGTTCCTGAAGAAAGAAGTTCAGGCAGGTCAATGGATACTGTTTTAGTGAAAGCTGCAGATTGTCAAAGATTGAATATAGCTTTGAAAATTACTTTAACATGTTAAAGCTTTATTAGATGTTAGTGATTATGTTTGCACATACTAAGACCAAACACAGATGAAGCAAAGACAACCAAATGACCGCTAATATGGAAAGAAAGAAGTTAAAGTAGTACTATTTTGTTTTATATTTGCTGCATAAAAGGTTGGAAAACAGAGCATCTCTAAGTCAGCTCAGCATCTCTTGATGGTTAGAACTTCATCCAAGCCTATTATTTATTGTAATTACAAAATCAAGCTCAAAATAAAAAACAACCATCTTCCAGTAGTGACATGAAATGAAGCAGAGAAGGTGCACCCGTAGACTGCTGAAACATGGATTCAATGATTCCTTCTCTACTTGTTGAATAAATTGGTCCACAGTGTCTACAGCTACAGAGGTCAGTGAGCACTTGATGTAATGCTAATTTACTACTTGTTAGGAATATGTAAATAATTAATTACATGCCCATATTTTAGCAATAAGTTCACTTTAAATGTTGGTTATATTCCCACTTATATAAGTGGGAAAGTTTTATGAATTAAATATTAATATCACAGTGGAAAACTTTGTCAAAAATGACATTCACCCTTTGCTTGCTATATAATAATTGACTCACTTTTGTACTATACAATATTTCCAATTCATTGCTATGCCTTCAATTAACCTGTTGATCCTGCCAGTTCTAAGTTTTGATAAAGAGTACTGGTTTAGGGTTGACTACACTATATTGCCATCATTGATTTGCAGTTTCAGTTTGCATTGTTCACCCTTTGCATATTGCCAATCTACTTAAATGTGCATGCTTTTCATGAGGAAGCTCCAACAGTACAGCTCTGGAAAGGCTACAGCTCCTCCCATCCTCCCACTGGCTAAAATGTCAGTGCTCTGAGGTACACACCCACCACCCATCCTTAGTGCTCCTGAGGTACATGCCTACCACCCCTGATGTACACTCTTGCCATCCACACAGCAAACATTATACCACGGAGGATTGGTGCTCATGTGACTGCATATAAAGTATGTTGAAAAATATATTTATTTGGCAATTTTCTAAAAATTTACTTTAGAAAACTAAAATGCTGTCAGTGCCATTGGGCTGTTTGCTGTGTTTAGCTTTTCCAACTACTTTAACAATGCCTGCACTGTTCCCCTGTATGATGAATTAAGTAGCATTATCAGAATGTGATCAGAATGTGATAATAACACTTGAAATGCATGTGCAACAGTTTAATGCTTCAAGCTGTTTGTCTAAAAAACAAATGCAGAACTTATTTCAAGTGCATGAACTATAATCTTTACTAATTAAATGTTGGCAGTGAACATTTCAGTAGAAGTTTGGAGATGGGCCTCTTAGTAATAGATGGATGGCAAAAGTGAATGTTTCTTGCCAAAAAAAATATACGTTCAAGCTACTGGAGAAATTCCCATGCTATTTCTGTTACTGAAGCCATTATGCTCAGAAGCACCAAGTAATGCTCAGTTGATATATGATTTAAGAAGTCACAGTAACAAGGAGTCTATAGTAAGTTATAGAAACTTTCATCTGTTAATGGGAGACATAGGGGTCTATTCACAAAGCTGCCGAAGGATCTGGCCGTAGCTTCGGCCGATCCTTCGGCTAGCTTCGGCACCAGGACCCCTTCGGTTCAGGAGAACCGAGGGGGTGCTGTACGGCTATTCACAATAGCCCGTACAGCTCCCGATCACGGCCGAGCGGCTCAGTCGAGCGCTGAGCCGTGCTGAAAGACGAAGAATGGGCTAACCTTGCTTTGTGAAACTATGGATAGATATTCATTATTTTATCAACACTTCATCCATTTGTAGATTGAACAGAATTGTGTATGATGATGAATGAAGTAAAGGTTACAGGTTTATTGAATAACTGTAAATATTCACGATTTGAGGTCTTGAAAGTGTAAAATTAGTCATAGTGGAAAACAAAAGAGTATGCATATCTTGAGAACCTGTCAGGCCAGAATATAGGAGTATTCATCTTTATTATCTTTGACTACTGGAAAATCCGACTACCTTGTGTTACTTTGGTAACAAATTGTATTTTCACTTGTTTAACTGCTCTTTCCTAAAGAGTGAATTGAAAACCATTATATTAAGTAATGGATAAAAAAGACAAATGTTATCACTATTGACAGATTCTAAAAATAAATAACTTATCCTTCTTTACTGTAAATACAGTGGGGGAATTTATCAAAACTGCAGCAGATTTGCTCTGCAACCAATCAGCTTCTCTCATTTTCATATCTTACTTGTGCAAACTGAAGAGAGATGCTGATAGGTTGCCAAGGGCAACTGCTCCAAATTCTGTTTGCTCCGGTTTTGATAAATTCCTCCCCCCGTATATCTGATGGAAAAGATTACTAAGTAATGCAAATAATTTTTGATTACCAAGAGTTCCTCCACTGTACCTGATTGTTACAACATGCTGTAAGAACTTTAATTAATTTACTTAAATGTGGTTTCCAATTTGATTTAAATGAATGTGGAAACTTTAAGAATATTATCTGCTAAAGTACTTTAGTTGTATATAAGTGATTTAAGGTTCAGAAACACTGATGATTGCATTCAGTGCTAATTTGCATTGACTCTATATAATGTTGGTTTCCAAAGATTGGCACTTATCTTCCAAGGAAAAATCAAAAAGCAAGTCTATGTCTAGATATCAGTAGGGACATATGATTAGCATTGAACAAACAAGTCAAGTTAAAAGCTTTTCTTAAACTTCATTAAAGATGCCTCAGCCTTACTGCTCATGGTATATTATTAAAT